TCTTCCAGATTCAAGAACTGCATACCATAGGTGGAGATAGGTCAACGGTGACTTATAGGAAAAGCCGAAGAACGTAGGAGTCAAGATCAGAGTTATCAAACCAGGAAGATGAGCAGAACCTAAGTCTGCAACTGAGAAACTAGCCAGTAGTCCTCAAAGACGTAATTGCATGAAAAGAGGCACGTTGGAGACTTCCAAGTACCAATCATCCTTATATTTACAAAATTCCCTACCTTTAAATACACTATTAGGTATAACCATCAGTTTTTCAACATCTTTGCACTTGTTGGATAGCACAAGGCTGTATACTACATAACCCGGTGAAGTGTCGGCCTTGTGGAAATAAAAGGCAGCTCTGCTTCATTTCATTGTGTGTTAATTCCACGACCACTCTTATTTCCTTTTAATGTGGCATGTACGTAACTGGTGGAGTGTGCAGTCTATTATGACATTTTTAAGGCTTTTCCATAAGCTCTCTTTGATAGGTTTGTGCTTTCAGGAGAGCAATTTAAATATCTACATTCTTCACTTCATGGATATTGTGTCTAATTATGAAAATGATATAGGTTTCATAAATACGTGTGACTTCTTAAAAGGAGAATTTGAAAAATCTTTGCCTTTGTTTCAGTCAGGACTAAGATATCTGACTGCTCAATAAAATAGCAAGAAAAATGATATCATTATTGAACAAGTCAGCATTAAAGAGAAAAGTTGATCATTAGCCCTTCCAGATATTTTATGACCTGTGACTATTAGTGAATTGAAAAGCCCCACTGGATTGGAAACTGTAATGAGTTGGTATGTGCAAGTTAAACAGCCAAACACATTTTCTTACTTATTTTTTCATTAGTCTATGGTGAAATACAAATAAGGATTGCAGATTTGTGCTAGAGGCAGTCTTTGTTCTGTCAGGATCGGAGATGTAGGTTAAATTAAGAATGATTTTTAGTAACTTTTCACTAAGTACTTTCACATTAGCCTGTGTCCCTAGTTTCCTTCAACCTTTGCCTGTTGTCATCTTTGAAGATTTGCTTCTATTTACTAACATGCTCAAGCAATTTAATGGCAGCAAAAGACTATGATTTATTAAAGAAAAAAGAACCCCCAAATATTTTGTTTTACCTTAGTATCATATTAAGAATATCTCATAACTACCATAGCTTGGTTTACTTACTTATCATTAGACTAATGTTCTATACAAACAGACACACACAGCATATCTGCTCCTGAATTAAGCATGTGTGCACACAAACATACACACTCTCACTGCACACATTTATGCTCTTGCGTTAAGCCTATGGGAACATATAACTTCCACATACATACATGTATTCATGTTGTATACATACATGGGTGTGGATTAAACAGTGACAACATTCTACATTAATAGAGGCTCTTCATACATAGCAAAAGAGTAAGGGAGTAGTCTTGTAATGTGTTCCATTATTTTTACTCATATCCAGAAAGATTCAGAGAAATTCTACAAATAAAATCATTTTGATTGTTCTTTGTTTTAAAGCAACTATATTTGAATTATCAATATCAAGCTATCATTGCTAAGTTCTTTGAATTGATTTTGGAAATGCTATAAGAACAACTGTACATTTGAGACTGGCAATCCCTCTGCCACTCAAGGTCACGCCAAGGAATAGTGAGGACTATCAGGATAGAATTTTTAAGGAGGGATTCAAGCACTTTTGATTTTTATCTGCATAGATTGCTCATTTGGTTTGAAAAATCTCTTCCTGTAATTGTTTGAATTGCAGCTAGATGAGTATTTCAAGATGTTCATTCCAAATCTGTGGACCGATGTTCTCAATGATCACGGAATTTAAAAGCTGAGATTGATCAGCGGTGTTATCTGGTCCAGTGCTTTTGGTTGGCAGATGAGTTGATGTAAATTAATTATCTAAAAATTTGGTAGCTTAGAGAATAAAAAAGGGAGTCATTGCCATTTCAGGGAAGGCAAGTGAGGCATAAAGACATTACGTAAGTTGCCAACTTTATTAGAACTTGTTACTAGCTGTTGGAACTGAAATTTAATCCGCCAATATCCCTGTTAGCTTTCTGTTCTCCTATTCTTTTTTTGATACTGTTGATGGTTTCAAAGTGTCACCTAGATGTAAAAAGATCATAATTTAATAATGAAGAAATACATGTCTTGGCTCTTTGGACAGCTCACATATTGTCATGTTATATTGACAATAAAGGTGGGATTCTGAATGTCACTGCCTGAGGAGTCCTCAGTTTTACTCCAGAAAGAATCACCAATTTCATGTTAGTTGTGATATTTTGACAAAGCAACCCATAATAAGATTTTTTTTTTACAAAGTATATTTATAAGCTTAAGCCCAGCTTCTAGCCACACTGACTAAACAAATGTAATTGCTCTGAACGGACTCTAAATAGCTTTCAACATTTCATTACAAAGCAATTACATTTGAGTCTTTCCCAGAGCTCTCGGCATGGCTTTTAAAAAAGAAATTACACAAACAGGTGAAATCAACCATTATGAAATGTAACCCGTGTGCCTAAAAAGCAAGGCCTCTGAGTGGGAGTGGAGTATAAACACATTTTATTTTGAAGTTAACTGCACTGAAAGAATTTAGCATGCTTACTCAAGGTAAGTTTATTTTTCAAAAGGGAAATATTTACATAATTTTTCAATGCTATGGAGCAATACAAGACTTACTAGATGTTCCCTAAAAGTTAAATGAGGACCAACCTCTTCCAGCAGCCATTGAGGGAAGGTCAGGACTCAAACCCAGTGTTCTGGTCCTGCGTTCATGATCTACACTGCCTTTCATGCTATCCACATGGAACAAAGGAACCTACCTACCAGCAGATATAGGGCTGGTCTGGGGATTTAGATATGGAGAGAGGGTTGATTCCTTACATAACTATTCAAAATATTATTGTATTCATGTGACCTTAGGGTTGTGCTTCCAAACATGGCTTTGAAAAATGAAGTTATTGGGCCAGGAGGTGATGTGGTGGTTAAGGTGTTGGACTCCCACATTCCAACTGCAGTTCAAGTCCTAGACCTGGTGGCATGTTTTCTTACCTTCTCTCTGTCTCTCTGTCTCTCTCTGTGAGTACATGTGCTCTATAGCAAATAATAATAATAATAATGATAAATAAAATTAAATAATTCTTAAAAAATTGAGGTTATCAGCAATCACATACTACAAATAAATTTTCATCATTATGTATTAAAGATAGGGATCCTAACTGAAGCTTGGGGTCTGCTGGGGACTCACAGACCTGTGATTATACACCTTCCTGTATATAGATGTGTGAATATGCATCTGTGTATTTTCCTAAAGAAAAATTTCTGCCTTTCATTAGATTTTTAAAGGGATACATGACTTCGTTATTGTCTAGAGAAGCAGTGGCCAACTTTTCCAGCAGAGGTCCAGATAGAAATGTCTGAGTCCCTGTGGGCCAGATGGTCTCTTTTGCAACTACCTAACTCTGCAGTTGCAGCATGAAAGCAGCTGCAGATGATACACAAAGGAACAAGTGTGCCCGTGTTTCAATAAAACTTTATTTATGGACTTTGGAATTTGGATTTCATATAATTTTTATGTATCACAAAATATTATTGTTCCTTTGGTTATTTTCTAGTCACTTAAAAATGTGAACAAAATAAATACAAAGGAACTCTCTTGGTTTGAGGATCATAAAAAGGAAACTAGCCATCCAGATTTGTCTCACAGGCCATCGTGAGCCAACGCCAGACTAGAGCAGAGACTCTGGAAATGTGGCAGCAGGATCAAGGACATCAGCTGGGAGCGTTGGGGACATGCAGATTCTCAGGACACTCTGCAGGTCTTCCAAATCATCAATCTGGAAGTGAGCCTGGCAGTCTGCGTCTAAGCCTTCTAGATGGAGTAGAGACACACTGAAGTTTGAGAGCCACTGGGCTAGACGCGTTGCTCTAGGGTCTGAGTTCGTCTATTCATTTAGTCACTTTGGCAAAAATAGCCTTTTTCTAAGAGGAAGTTTTATTATCAGTATTTTAAAATTTTCTATAGGATACATGCATTCACCAGAGACAGAGTGAGAGAGAAAACATTAGAAAGCAAGCCACCAGGTCTGGGACTCAAACTGCAGTCAGACATGTGAGAGTCCAGTGTCCTAACCACTATGCCATCTGCTGACCCTGCAAAAATGACTTCTAAGAGTTTAATTATATTGTACCAGCAGTATAATGGAAAAAAGTACATTTTTTTTTCTTTACAAATGCAATAATCATCTATTCATAAAACAAGACACAGCGGGACCAGCAGTTAGCGTAATGGCTATGTCGCTGGACTCCCACGTAGTCGACCATGGTTCGCATCCCGGACCCCGTGGCTTAAAACTCACGCCAGGCGCGTGTGCATGCATGCCCAAGATCCTGAGAGGAGAATGGAGGAGAAGGGATTGCGGCGTGGCCATCCCCCCTGGGGGGTAATTTCTTGCTTTCTGTCTCTCTGTCTCTCTCGGTCTGTCTGGCGAGCACATGCGCCCTATAGCAAAAACCTCTCCAAAAAAAAAAAAAAAAAAACAAGACATGGCAAATTTATGAAGATAACTCACTTTGTAAAATACATCTCCCTCATCATGACCCCACATACTCACACAAACACACACACATCGAAGACAAAATGCCACAAAGCAATATGTACCCTTAACGCATGTGGTACACCTGATATTCTGGTGTATTCTATGCAATTGCTTCTGACCCAATACATTGATTTTACAAGTCAGTGCTAGATCCCAGTTCATAGGTTGAGAAATACTACCATCAAATGTACTCACCAGTGCGAATTCCTTGTTGAGAATCATCTGCTCCACCAAGGAGGACTCGTTGTGGAAGAGGTGGGGCTGCATGTGGCTCCACATGTGAGGGAACCACCAGAACTCGTCCACAGACCTGAGCAGCAGGTCATCGCCTGCATCTTCCTCCTCAGTCCCTGTAAGACACGAAGTTAAAAATGGCTGTAGCGGGAATGTTGCAATAGCTTAAAAGTTATTTGGGTCAGCTTCATGTTATTATTTATGCTACTGACACATAGACCCAGTTCTGTGCTGCTGTTGCTATTTTATTTTAAAAGAAATGACCATTATCTCAATTACCTTGGAGGCAAGCAGGAGTGGGGACCGAGGGAATTGGGAGTGGAAACGGTGAGCACCAGGTGCACTCAGTTGTATAATTGAGATCTTAGGGACATTTTATTAGTGAATCTTTATTATTTAGCATTGATTGTTCATGGTGGTCATAAAAAGATTTACATTTATTTTTGTTTTAAAATTATCAACAAATTATCAAATTATCTCCTTTATAGCACACAAAGGAATGTGGTTCAGAAATGATGATTTGGGGACCAGTCGATGGCATAATGGTTACGTTGCTAGACTCCCATGTAGTTGACAGAGGTTCGAGTCCCAGACCCTATGGCTCAAAATGCCAAAAGGAGAATGGAGGAGAAGAGATTTATCTATGACCATCCTCCCTTGGTGTGATTTCTCATATTCTATCTTTCTGTCATGGTCTGTCTCTCCAGCAAGCACACACGCCTTACAGCAAAACAAAAACAAAAGCAAAACTCCTAGAAAAATAAATGAATATAAAAGAAAAAATGATTCTTTCTCCATTAAAAACTTTTCGTGTATATAAGTCCAAAATTATGCTTAATTTTCTGCCTTTTTTCTGTTTACTAAAATAATAGAAGCTTATTGAAGAAATGTAGTAAGCCAATATGTAATACATACAGCCCAAACCTCATAACTAAACCAAACCACCTGAAAGCCATCTTCTACAGCTAATCGGTGAAAACATTTTTGGATTTTTCTGCAAAATATTTTCTACTTTTTTTTTTTCTAAAGAGAGATGTTTTTAGACAGGGAGCATGTGCTCACCAGAGAGACAGAAATAGAAAGCGAGAAATCACCCCCCAGGAGTGATGGCCACACTGCAATCCCTTCTCCATTCTCCTCTCGGGATTTGAGACAAATGCACCCGGCATGAGTTTTAAGCTCCTGGGTCTGTGCCTGAAATCATGGTCAACTATGTGGGAATCCAGCAACACAAACTTTATGCCATCTGCTGGCCTCTCTTTTTTGTTTTTCTTAAAATATTTGCTGGGGGCGGGTATGTGTGCTCACTGAGAAGGAAAGAGAAAGAGAGAGAGGGAGAAAGAGAGAAAGTGAGAAAGTACCCCTAGAGGTGGGAGGGGGAATGGTTAACACTGCAATCCCTTCTCCTCTGCTTTCATCTTGGAATCTGGGACATGTTTGCACTCGGCCTCAGCATTTTTCAAGCTGCAGGATCTGGGACTCAAAACACATGGTAGCCATGTGGGGTCCAGCCACCTAACCACCATGCCACTGGCTGGTCCTCTAATTATTTTCTTAAAAGTTGAGCTTTTACTATATAAAAATGTATGCACACTTACATTTCAACTTGACATTATACATATAATTATTTCCCATTTGAGGACCAGCAGGTGGTATATTGGTTAAAGCACTGGACTTCTACTGATCCACCCTGATGTGAGTCTTGAATCCAGTGGCTGGAACATCATGCTAGGTGTGTGTGTGTGTGTTGTGTGCGCCCAGAACCCCAGGAGGAGAATGGAGGAGAGGAGATTGCGGTGTTGCCATCCCCCCTGGGGGCTGACTTCTCACTTTCGTTCTCACTGTTTTTCTCTACTGCTCTCTGGCAAGTGCACATGCTCTATGGCAAAAACCTTGATTACAAAAAATTCCAATTTTTAAAAATATTTTGTAAAAATTAAACAATGAGGGACCAGCAGATGGTGTAATGGTCATGTCACTGGACTCCTATGTGGTCAACTGGGGTTGGAGTCCCGGATCTTGCAGCTTAAAACACACCAGGCACACGTGCGTACATGTCTAAAATCCCAAGAGGAGAATGGAGGAGAAGAGAATGCGGCATAATCATCTCCCATGGCGGGGTGGGTGATTTCTCACTTTCTGTCTCTGTCTCTGTCTCTGTCTCTGTCTCTCCAGAAAGCACATGTGCCTTATAGCAAAACTCTCTCTTAAAAAAATTCAGCGATGAAACTTAAAACAACTTATAATATAAACCTGAATTAATTTAAAACTAATATTTATTTTTCTTGTTTACTGGAAAAAAAATTGCTGTCACTGTCCAGTGGGTAGGTAAACCATAATTATATTACAAGATAAAGATTAAAATTAAAAAAAAGAAAAACACTCTTAAGGATTTCAATATGTTGAACCTACCTACGAATACTTTTACTGTATAAAATCATAAAGATTTTGAAGATTTCTACAATATTCATTTATTTTAAACTGTTTTGAATAAATTATGTTCAAATTGATTCCCATTCGGGGGAACCAGCAGTTAGCGTAATGGCTATGTCGCTGGACTCCCACGTAGTCAACCGCAGTTCGCATCCCGGATCCAGTGGCTTAAAACTCATGCCGGGCGCGTGTGCATGCGTGCCCAAGATCCTGAGAGGAGAATGGAGGAGAAGGGATTGCGGCGTGACCATCCCCCCGGGGGTGATTTCTCGCTTTCTGTCTCTATGTCTCTCTCTGTCTATCTGGCAAGCGCACGCGCCCTGTAGTGAAAACCTCTCAAAAAAAAAATTGATTCCCATTCGTCTCTATTTAACTATGTAAGTAAAATAAATAAAAGAACAAGTTCTGGCTTATAGGATGGAGGGTATGTATTTGGTTTGTTTTTCTAAGGCAGAGTGTGTTTTATAGGTACTTCAATGTCTGTTTTTTACTTAAATGAAGGTAACAAATACAAATAATTTTTTTATTATTATTCTTTTTAGAGAGATTTTTGTTATAGGGTGTGTGCACTTGCTGGGGAGACAGAGACACAGAAAATGAGAAATCACCCCCGTAGAGGGATGGCTATTCCACAATCCTTTCCACTCCATTCTCCTTTTGGGATGTTGGGCAAGTGTGCACGTGCACCTGGTGTGAGGTTTTAAGACGCCAGGTCCAGGACTCATCTGTGGTCGACTACTTGGAAGTCCAGAAACATAACTGTTACGGCATCTGCTGGTCCCCAAACTAATAATGTTTAAAGAGTTTCCCCTGAACGTTCCATGTGTGATCTAGTGAAGATTTCCTTGGTTATAAAAATACAGGACGGTCTTTAAAATGTTTATGGGAAATGCATGCTAAATAAAAACTACAGTGCCGGATGCTTAAGGCAACCATATCTCACGTGTTCAACCCTGAGGTTCGAGTCCCAAACTTGATGTCCTAAGAAACACACTGGGCATGTGTCCCTGCATGCCCAAAATCTTGATAGGAAGAGGAGAAGAAAGAGAAGGGACTGCTATGTGACCATTTCTCATAGGGGGTGCTTTTTCTTCTCCCTCTCACTGTTTCTGTGTCTCTGGTAAGTACAAGTGACTTGTAGCAAAGAAAAAGAAAGAAGAAGAGAAGAAAGAAGAGAGAGAAAGAGAAAGAGAAAGAGAAAGAAAGAAAAAAAGAAAGAGAAAGAAAGAAAGAAAGAGAAAAAGAAAAAGATAAAACTATGCATGGATTTCAAAAAAAATTTTTTTTGTATCTAAAGTTGTACTTTATTTCATTTTTTACCATGAACTCTGAAGTACCCTCACAGTGTCATCAAATGGCTAAAACATATTGGCTACCACTCAGTACCTGAAGTACAGTCTCTAATTTTGCCTCTTAATCAACTACGTGATTTTGGTCAAGTTAACAACTTCTCTGAGTCCATTTCCTGGCTTACAATAGGAATATAAATGCCTCTCTCATAAGATCTTAGTGAAGAGTCAGTGAAATCAATTTATTCAAACACAAGACTGTGATTTCATAGCAAGCACTTTCTAAAAAATTAGAATCTCTTCTTAAAAATAATGGCCGCTGGTACATACTTACTGCATTTCAAATGCATCTATCACGCATTCTTCAGAACTTTGCTACCTAGATTATCCATTTCTTACAGGAAGGACTACATCTCTTCACCTTGCACTGTAACATACCACTTCCCCAGAGCAGTGAATAAATGGATAATTTAAGTCTGTGCGTATTAGTATAAAGTCAGTAGACTTTAGCAGCTTCATATGACCATTGAAATGTATGCAACTTGTGCGTCTTTTTTTAGGTATATTCCTAGTTCCTGGGGTACAGTTCACAATCCACAGTCCTGAAAAGGTGTAAGGACCACCAGGAATGCTACCCAGAATAAAGAAATGACTCTTAAAAGTAATAACACCCTAAAATAAGATAAGCAGGTGGAATTTAATTTTTTTTTAAAGTTAGCTAAATTGCAAGTACTTCAGAGTCACAATTCTTTGACTTTTGTTACTGTATTGGGAATATTAAAGATTGAAATCCAAATGAAGAAGTTCATCACTTCCTCAGATGAAGTGTTTATGCTACAGATGTTTCTCATGCCCAGAATGTAGCAGAAAGGAGCAGAGATGAGAGAATTACTTTCACATGTAATGAAAGAATTGATGATTCTCACACCCTCCTCCCCCTGGAATTATCCTACTGTGCTTTGAGTACAGAGTGTTTGGGGAATGCTTTCATTTGCACTAAACCCCACTGATCATTACTGTAAGGGGGAGGAAGCAGATAATGCATACTTGACCCAAAAGGAGGTCAATTCCTTAATTTAAAGAAAATGTTGCAGGTTATTGATACAAACAGATGCGTGATTGCTCATAAAATATTACTAATTTTTAGACCGAGGTCATGTTAATTTATAAACACTCTTCATAAGGTTGAGAGTAACTAAAAACTTGGTTCTTTTTTTAAAACATCATAGATTAAGCACTGTTGGTATTTTTAATTTTTGATATTTTATGCTGGCCTTATGAATCAAAGTCTTAGAAGGCAGAGCCCTGACACTAGAAATAGCTTTATGATAAATATGAAACTGTCATGCTGGGGACCCACTACAGAATTTCAAATTTTTATAAAGAAAACATTGAATTTTTGACTTACTAGAAACAAATATTTTTCTATACCCAATGTACACTTTAATCATGTGTAAAAAGATAATTCGAAGTATATACATGACCATATCAACAAAAATTACAGACTGTTAGACGCTGAGGGGTCTTCAAAAAGTTCACAAAATAATAAAGCTAAAGTACGAGTTTATTTTAGTGCAAAAAACTTTTCAAATTTGTCCATAATTTTTTCATAAAATGAATTTCCATGAACTTTTTGAAGCCATTATATATGGAATCAAACTGAGCTTTCACGTTTAACCTGATCTTGCTCACTAGGAAACAGAAAAAAAATACAGTTCGTTCTTATTTAAACATTTACGTTTTTTAAAGACTTTTATCCCTCATTCCCAGAAAATTCAGTGTTCTCATTCAGAAGTAAAATACGCAGGGCTAATTTCTTTGCCATCGCTTTACAAGCATATGTGTTATGGGATAGTAATGTGTTTTTAAAATTCAAATCTGCCAAAATAAGGATAAGTTAGCAAGTGCTGGATTATAGTTTGATTTTCTTAAAGGTACAGTTACACTATTAGAACAAAATATATAAAATCCTGGTGTGTACAACTTTTTTTGTACAAGTGCCTTTCCTTAGGTTTGCTTATTATGTGTGAATAATCTAATTCTTAAATGGTAATAAGATACTTTCTCATTTCCTTTGTACACTAAAGCTGTCATGGTTCCACAGGTCAGAGTAGAACCAACTATATATTTTAAATATTATTCTTAATAAAAAGAACTGTTTGATAATGAAAATGGATTAAAAGTTACCTATATTTTAAAGATTAGAAAATGGAGCCATATGAATTGTCTACTGTTTACTCTTATGGTAATATTTGACTCTTATACAAAACACTTCTAAAATTAATAAACATTTAGATAACACAAAATAGGTATTGTTCCATACGAAAGACATTACAATCCTCATTTTGGAAATGCGGAAATTGAGGCACAGAAGTTTAAGAAAACTGTGTTCACACAGCTAGTAAAATGTCAGGAACCTGATTTAAACACAAACTCTTCCCAGTAACCAGTCTTTTAAACAATACTTTATACAGAAAAGCAAAAAATGAAAAAAAGTAAAAAGGAGAAAGACTGTGATTTTTTTTTGTTTTCATGTTTGAAAGTTAGTACATTTATATACAGTGTTTTTTTTTTAATAGAATAAGCTCTCTTGGAAAAGAGCAATGTTAATCCAATTTGTAAACATTAGTCACAAATTATTTATTGATTGGGCCATATTCAATTTATTATTAATTATAGAAAATAGCAATGATTGTCACTAGAAATCATGTCCCATGAAAAACAAGTCTATAGCTCCATATCCCTAGAAGCTTTCTTAATGCTGTTAATGTCTCCATTTTTTAACTGAGTTTCATTGTGCAATTGCAATCAAGCTGGAAATATTTCCAGACTAAAATATTTCACTCTAAACTCCAGGCTTTTTTTTTTTTTACATTTTAATCAGTACCGTGTTCTTCCTCTTTCAATTTGGCATCTGTGGGTGAATGACTTTTAGGGAAGGCTTAGTGATATGCCCTTTGGGAGTGAGATTGCTTTTAGCATGTGAAGGACAGAAAAGCTGAACAGAAAAGAATACATGAGAAATACAAATAAGTGAAGCAGTCTAAGAAATGCAGAATCAATCATTATTATACTGGGTATATGTGATTAAATGTCTTCAAAACAATGACGCTCATCCATCAGCATCCTCGTGCACTGGGAAATCAGATTGTCCTAGGAGAGAACTGAGGCAGTCATTGTAACAAGGCCATCTCATGGTCACACACCACGACCAAGTGCACATGGAAGAGACAGTCCTCCTTGATTTGCAATCTTTTTTTTCTATCACATTAAACCTCCATATAGAAATGTGACTAGAGAGAGGGGAGGGACACCTTCCTGAGAGTGGTTCTCACTAAGAGGGCGCTGGACTCTAGAAGAACCTTGATACTCCCAAGTACATTGAAGAATATCCAACATGGTCTGATTGTACCCTTGAAATAATTATGGAATGCATTTCACTGATGCTATAAAACAAAGTCACATATCAATTTTTAAAAGTTCCATATTTATCTGAAAGAAATGCAATGTCCTGGCTTTACACATGTAAATATTGGTTCATCTTCAAAGTCATGATGCATTTTTGCATAGAAAAAGAAAGAGACAGTCCTCCTTGATTTGCAATCTTTTTTTTCTATCACATTAAACCTCCATATAGAAATGTGACTAGAGAGAGGGGAGGGACACCTTCCTGAGAGTGGTTCTCACTAAGAGGGCGCTGGACTCTAGAAGAACCTTGATACTCCCAAGTACATTGAAGAATATCCAACATGGTCTGATTGTACCCTTGAAATAATTATGGAATGCATTTCACTGATGCTATAAAACAAAGTCACATATCAATTTTTAAAAGTTCCATATTTATCTGAAAGAAATGCAATGTCCTGGCTTTACACATGTAAATATTGGTTCATCTTCAAAGTCATGATGCATTTTTGCATAGAAAAAGAGAAAAATACATCATGACTTTTCTGACAAGCCTATATCTTGCTTATTCTCAAATGTGTGCCTTCACCACAGCGTAATAGCATAGCATTTCATCTATTATTTCTGTTAGGTGATTTCAAACATAAAGGGTCAATGAGGCCTAGTTAAAATATATTGGGATTGTTTTTATTTGATTTGGTTTTCAGTATTTTCCTTCAGCTATCCTTATGATGTTAACTGGTCGTCTGCTCATTTCTGGGTACTGTGTACACATTAGGGATTTTAAAGAAGTGGAAAATGTTACAACCTATCAATGGTGGCCCTGCAAATGTCAGGAGGCTTTAATAGATCTGAGTATAAAAAGTAAATAAAAAACTAAGTCAGTTATCCAGGTACGTTTCAGCCAAAAGAATGGCTTTACTTACACTGTATAGTTATTTACAAGAGAATAGTATTGTTGGTTTGTGAACTTAGAATAATTCCATAATTTTTCCCCCACATGAGTAGATGTAGCCGTTGTAGCCATCTGCTTTGCAATGTTGTAGTCAGAGCTTCTTAGCCCTGAACTCATTTCTTCAGGGGACTTTTGAAGATTTACAAAACCGTGTCTATTTTCCAAACTGTAAGCGGCAATTGCTTTGCCTGTGCAGATATGAAGATTCAAATCTCTTTCTGCAAAATATCTCTTTAAAATATTCAATTGTTTGATTTATCAACTGGTCTAACTACCAGTATTCCTTTTATTACATTAAACAGATTTATGTTTCAAAGCAGGAGAAAAAAAGCATCAAGGAAAAAGCCAATAAGATGTTGTTACTTCAATATGTTCATAAACCATGCTGAAATATTACATTAAAAAGCCGCTTTGAGTAAACAAGCTATATTCATGATAATGAAAGACCACCTTTGCATGGGATATTGCTAATGAATCAATAAGCTGCATATATGCATAGAGAATACTGTGAAACCTGTCCATTAAGATGCTACAAAGAAACAACAGTGCAAAATCTTAAACAAAACTATTAACTAAGTGTAGCTGCACAAATTCCTCCAATCCAGATCCCAGCACATTATATAGTACAATTTTTGTCATCCTTGTAAGACAATCAAAATGAGCACAGTTTTCTCTAAGGTAGTGCCAGACATTACAATGCTAATTTTCAGAAAATGAAAGTCCGACTCTGGAGATGGGTGTTTGTAAAGAAGGTGAGAAATATCTGAGCAGAGAAGTGTGGGAACACCAATTGCATTTTGAAAATTTGTTCAGAAGTTGAGACTGAACAGAAATGCACCTCTGGTTGGATAGAGATGGAAAGAAATACAAGCCTGATTGTTACGGCTTTTAATGCAGATTAGGTCAAATCAATGGTAATACGTTTAGGAGAAACTTCAGCAAAAAAAAAAAAAAAAAAAAAGAAAAAAAATGAAACTTAGAGGCTAATGAGAAGTGTGGGAACACCAATTGCATTTTGAAAATTTGTTCAGAAGTTGAGACTGAACAGAAATGCACCTCTGGTTGGATAGAGATGGAAAGAAATACAAGCCTGATTGTTACGGCTTTTAATGCAGATTAGGTCAAATCAATGGTAATACGTTTAGGAGAAACTTCAGCAAAAAAAAAAAAAAAAAAGTAAGAAAATGATCCTTAGAGTCTATTAAATTTCATTGAGGCTATGATACTCCTCTCTCTAACATCAACATTTTTTCCAAAGGGAAATAACACATATAGAAGTATCCATCACTTTATATGAGCATTTAAAAATACCCTTCATTACTATTACTCGGTGTAGAACTGTCATCATCATTTTCACTGTGCTTTCTATTTAGACTCTGTTGAAAAACGAGATGCACAGTTACCATGAAAACAATGGTTATGGTTTCTTTGAGATAAAAAAAGTCCATTCTTGTCCCTTTTTGCCCTGGATATTAACAGTATTTCCCAAAGTAAACAAGTGCATGGATTTGGGATTTAGCTACTCATAGAATGCACCCACGTTTTTCCCATAATCTGGACATTTTACTTCTCCTACTTATGGAACATTTAAAATCTGATCTCCTATTTATGTGTAGCTGCCTGAGAACACAAAGCTCCTTCTTACCTGTGTGGTAAAACTTCCCTGAAAATCCAAGGTTGAAGGTAAAATTTGCAACCTGAGTGCGCAGTAAATTTTGAGTCTCTAGTAATGCCTGAAATAAATAAGAGATTAACATGATTTTAGAAAAATAAATATGAAGCTTTGGGATGCCTCATTTGCAAATGTGTGTGCACCAGCAAAACAAAGTAATATGAGCTTTGTTGCTTTTGGGGTTTTTAATGGTCACTATTATGTAGTATTCATATTTCAGGTATGATAATTACTGTTGTTATTATTTTTATTCAAGGTTACCAGATTATAAAACAGTTACTTCCTAAGCACATTAGGCATTGCTGAGAAGGAATTTTCCAACTGCACAACACTGAAATCATTTTTATTTCTGTGTGAGACATTTCTTGAATTTCTGATGATGATACTTCCTCTCCTCGGGGAACTTTTTCAGGATTGTTGAATGTAGTCAAGTCCTGTATTTATTGGGAAGGAACAGGAGGAGAACTTTTGTTGGGATGGCAATTTAGTATTTTATTTAACTGTGTTGTCTCCCCCATCATTTTTCAAGACATAATTATGAGTTAAAAGTCTCGATTTTTACTTTAAGAATTAAAGAACCAAGTGTATTTTATAAAGCACTCCCATGATCTTGATTGGCTGGAAGGTTGTGGGAAGGATTAAGACCCGGGGAAACCCTGTTCAAGGGCACTTGCCTTGCTCTCTCTCTGTCTCCCCAAAACAGAAAGCAAAACAAAACAAAGTAAAGAAAATAAATTTTTAAAAGTTGAAAAAATGATCAAACAGAATACTATAAAGAGTATGAGGTTTTATGTATATATATGTACATATATTATATATATATATACACACACATATATATTGATTGATAATACATAAATATATAGATACAGTCTCTAGAAGACAGGATCTCACTCTGTTTTTCAGACTTTCCTCTAACTTGTGATCCTCTGACTTCAACCTCATGAGTAGATGGATTTAAAGACAGAAATAAAGTCTTTTGAACTAATTGACTTTATTGATAAATGCTATGGATTATAGCCATAAAATAAGAATATTATGGGGGCAGCAAGTGGCATGGTGGCAAAGGTGCTGGACTCCCACATGGCCAACTGCAGTTCATGTCCTGGACCTGGTGGCTCGCTTTCTCACGTTCTCTCTCTATCTCTCTCTCTGTCTCTATGGCAAATATACAAAAGTAAATTAAAATGGTAATAATAATAAAATTAAAATAATTATTTTTAAAAAAGAATATAATTTTTTTTCTTAGTGAGTTCCTTTATCTGTTTTCCCCCTTTGTTCAACACACAATCCCTGAGCCTCTATCTCTTGATTTAAAAAAATTCTCCTCACCACTTTAACCTCAACCATTCAATGTTCTTGAAATAATTCTTTATTCTGCATTTATTTATCTACTATCCATTTTTAAATTCAACTAGAATTTATTATAGATAAATAGACTGTTGGGTTTCATAAACATGATCCCTATAACCTTGGAGGCCATGTGGAAGATCAGGGCCAGTTCCCAGAGCACCATGTACATTGCAGAGTGCACAGACATGCCCATGATATTGGCTAGCTGAAAGACTTGGGGGAAATCACAACACGATTTCCTCTTGGAGGTCGGTCCTTCTCTCTGCCATGAGATAAATAAACAAGTAAAAATTAACAATCTATTTTTCCTCAATCAAATAGCCACTACCTTAGGCAAGCCCTCATTACGTTTTCTTTTGGCCTTTAAAATGCTATAATCTCCAATAATGCTCCTGCCATCCATGTCCAACTTGCTCTACTCAACACTCTGCAATCATGTAAACATCTCCAAAGTGGTCAGTGCACTGTACCCTCGAGTCCAGAAGGTCTATTCTATTGTTGACTCAACTTTTGTCAGTTATTTCACTTCTTGAATTCTTTCTCTGTGAAATAAGATAATATTGAACACTGAATTCATGTTATTGGCATGAGGATTTTGCATTGTATGAGACAGGTGTTTAACTAAATGGCTGGTTCATAATAAGAGCTCCATACATACTGCACTGAGTACTGAACCTACCATCAATTAGGCATCCCCATCAATCAGGCATCCTTGGTGCCTTCACACATATAATTAAGAGACATTCATTGCTGCTTTCACCAAATCACCCTGTCATTTGGTTAACCTGAACTATCTCTACCCTCCTACATTTCTCCAAGATGGTCCTCACTCATTCCCTAGAAAAAGGCTACTATGCTCCCCAAACCCATCTAGTCTTAAAATCTCTGCCCACGTTCCACCTTTCTGAATGAAATCTTCTCTGATACTTCAAAGCCTTTTCTTTTCTCATCTTACTAATTATTTTAAAACATACATCATTCCTATTTTATTGCATCCACTGTGAATCTTATCTATTTTTCTAGTCTATAAGGACCTATCTGTTCACCCAATATTATTATTTTTACATATCCCTTCTTGCTAAATATATTTTTATGTATGTGAAAGTTATTCAAAGTATAATGGAAGCACATATGAATGCACAGTATTAAATTGAATTTGCTTTATTTTTTTCTCTTTAAATATTGATCATAATTCATGATTTATATATAATCATTACATATCATTGTAGAGTACTGAATGGTCTCTAAAAGCATGTATGTAGTGTGCAATAAACAAGCAGAGTTTGTAAACATATGCACCACCTTCAACATTTAACATTATGTTGTGAACATTCAAAACCCACTCAAACACACTCAAGATAGTTATTCTGCAAGTATGTACTAAATTACTGGTGATCTTCTTTACTGTGAGATACAATTCTAAAGAAAAACATATTGATCTAAAATCAGACAACAAAAGATCTCATAAATTAACAAAGATAATCTTAACATAGCCAGTAAAAGAAGAATTTGTAATGACCATGTAGAGGACTGGGGAACATAAGAGTTCAAAAACTTAAAAAAAAAAAAAAAAAAAAAAAAAAACATGATATGATATAAATCATTGGTCCAGTTTGTGATAAGTAAAATTGTACATAATAGCTCATTAGGAAGAGAGAGGAAAAGAACACTTTTACTCACACATTGAGTTCTTAGAGGACCATTGTACTATACTGTGCATAAAGAAATGTCTTTGAAAAAGCAAAAACAAAAACAAAAAATATTGGAAAGAGAAGTTGAGAAACAAAGACATGCTAAAGTCAGAGATTTGGTGATTTATAGGCTTTACAAAATTTTTGATTTTAGCCTTTTTAAAATTAATTCCAAAGAAAGACTCAGTTATTTGTAAAATTTTGGACTTTTTCTATATTATCTACTTTAATACAGTGCATAATGGTTATAATGAATATATAAATTGAAACCTTGTCCATCAAATAATTGGTGGATTTGTACTTAAATCTATTTATGTAAAATATACTTGAATATATATTTTTAGCATTTTAGTTGGGAAATGTAGTCCCAACTTTCAACGTTATCAATATGCATGTACATATCTCTTTTTCTAGTTGTTTTGTTTTTCTCTTACTTCTATTTGTTTCCCTTTACCTTTCCTGGTATAATAGTCACTTAAATATTTTCTAAAAAGTCAGTTTTTTTGTGAATTCTTTCAGCATTTATCTTGGAAAGATTTTCTTTCTCCTTTCCATGTGAAGGATCATCTTGCTGGGTATATTACTCTTGGCTAAAATTACTTTTCTTCCAGAATTTTAAGTATATCTTCCATTCTTTCCTTACCTGAATTGTTTTGGTTGAGAGATCTGGTGTTAGTCTAATATGGTAACCTTTGTAAATAACTTGACATTTCTCTCTTGACATTTTTAGAATATTGTCTTTGTCTTTGATTTTTACCAAGATGGCTATGATACATCTTAGAGAAGACAGTCTTATATTGATTGGTGTCCTTTATATTTCTTAGATTTGGATGTCCAAGTGCCTCTCTAAATTTAGAAAATTTTCAAGCTAATTTACCATGAAAGATGTTTTTTATGTCTTTACCTGTCTCTTTGCCCTTTGGAATACCTATTATGCGAAACTTAGCTGTTAAGTGGTATCTGGGATTTCCCATGTATTGTCCTCATTTTTAATGGCTGGCTGGACAAATCAGAAGTTTTGTTTTCATGGTCAGAAATTCTTTCTTATCCATAGTCTAATTTGCTGTTAACACTTTCAGGGGAGATTTTGATTTCCTGAATTATATCCTTTATCTACAGAAATTGTTTGATTCTTTTTTAGTGTGTCTTTCTCTTTATAGAATTCCTCCTTCAGGTCATGAAAGGATTTTCTCATGCCCTACAATTGATTTTGTGTTTTCTTTTGCATCTCATTGAGTTTTGTTACAATGAATATTCTGAATTCTTTTTCTGACATTTCTGTGATCTCTTATGTTTTATCCATTGTTATGGTCTGTTGATGGAGATTGGATTGCCTCCTATTTCTTGGGACTTTGCATTGATTTTTAGTCATCTGATGATATACTCACATCTTTCTACTTCTTTGGAGAATGTTTCTGTAGCTGTGTGTTCTTGCACTTCCCTATGATATGTGTAAGCTCTATGTCCATTTCCCTTCTCTTCTATGGTGAGAATGTGGAATCCACAGTAGGAGTTTGGGGTTCAGGTTTTCAGAAGGGAGTTTCTCTCTTTTTACTGCTAAGGCATTTAGAGGGAACAAATTCCTCCAGAGTCTCTTATTTTCTGCTGTTTGGTTCTTGTATACCCAAACCTAATAGCTCCCAATATGAATGGAATTTGAGCTGATAGGTAGAACAGAAGGTGGTAGGCCACTTCCTGCAGCACTTGTGTGCCTTGAGGATGGGAGAGCCACTTCTCCACCACAGTAGGCTGGTGGGGTCCCTGTTGATGAGCTTGAGCCAAGGAGATTTGCATGGGCCTCTCTATTTACTTTTCTCTCTTCCAGTTTTATTTATTTTCATTAGTAACATTTTGTTTTTCAGGAGTAAATGATAAACATGGCTAATGTTCCCTACTACAAAAGAATATCAAAACAATGTGGATAGAATCTAACACTAACATGTTTTATAGCAGGCATATTTTATAGCCGATAGTGTAGGTGTCCTATGAAAGCAATCACACAAAGGCAAGAGAAGAC